GTTGATGCCGAAACTTTAACCTGACTGCATTGGGTATAATTTGGTTGCATGTTGCTATAGTTCATTTAATGGCTATCTTATGGATTGTGTGTTTGCTTTACCTAGTACAGCGTATTTGAATCTGTTTGTTTGCCTGTTTAATGATTTATGCATTGTTTAACTGCATTGCCTTAATACATCCATTTATTCTACCACTAGTTGCCTGTTGTTGCAGGTGTGTGAGTGTGTGTGCAGCTTTAAAAGTTATTGCAGAACAAAGAACCCATCATCACCAGTGGCTCCTGGTAAGCACTACAGTTATAACAGCAGTTTTTTCATGAGCAAAATTTTGACGTCAAGCAAGGCAATGAAAACACCACATCAATCTATAAAGGGGGGATACGTTCATCTGGTTATAGATACTGAAGAGTACAATAATTTGCCACATCGCATTATCTGGTATATAATTTTAATTTGAAATATTTTGCATAATTTTTACTTTTAGTTTTATGCTTAGAGGAAAAAAATTATGTGCTTTCCAAATAATGAAAATAGTATGCCAAGTTTGTTTGACGCTACATTCTGGCCTAAGAGGCCAAATAACTCATAACTGTGGTATTTGCATGCAAGAGAGTGTACTTGTAGCAGGAAACAAAAAGACAGGGTCAGTTCTCATGTGTAAGTCATTGTTGGAATATTGGATCAACATTTTTATTTGAAGTGAGCAGTTGAGTTGAAAACAATTAAATGTTCTTTTTACATTTTAAACGAAAGTCACGGCACAGTGGCTTAGTGGTTAGCACATCTGCCTTGCAGTAAATGGGTCATGGGTTCAATTCCTGACCATGGCGCCTCCTGCATGGCGTTTACATGTTCTGCCTGTGCTTCCATGGGTTTTCTCTGGGTGCTCTGGTTTCCTCCCACACTCCAAAGACATGCTGGTAGGTTAATTGGATCCTGTCTAAATTGGCCCTAATATGTGTATGTATGAATGTAAGTTAGGGACCTTAGATTGTACACCCCTTAAGGGTTAGAGACTGATGTGAATGTTCAATATATATATGTGTAGAGTGCTGCGTAAACTGACATGCACTATATAAGTACCTGAAATAAAAAATATAACTTATCTTTACAAAGAGTTGTGATAAATTTAAAAAGTACAAATTTAAGGCAGCTTAAAATATGGTATGACTAATATTAATGATAAAGATCAATTTAAAAGGAAACTCTACCTTTTATTATAAGGAAAGGCGTCAGGTAATTACAACTGAAGAAGTGTTTACCTGTCTTATTTAGTGGTGCTTGTACAAGTTCGTTCAGCATCATCTGCGATCAGTAAGAAATGTTCCAGCTTTATATTTTACCACAGGATAATGTTATAGGAGCTTTATATAAATTACTATTATTACGAAAAATAATAATTGTAAATAATAATATTGTCCACCCTGGAATTTGCATAGTGTACATATTAATAATATACTGACCATATGCTAGTGTTCCAGAAGCGATGTCAAGATTCTCAGCAGCAATAGTTAAAGTAAACTTTTGCTATGTCTATATGTACTAACAGGTTTATCTTACAGGAAAGATCACAACCGCAATGCTCTACAACTCCTCTGCCACAAGACCACCTGAGAGATAGCCTATAGTTCTGAGTAGTAGGGAACAAAAGACAGTAACAGAGATTGGTATTCTAGAATGCAAATGCCAGACCCATGCACTGCCACACAGGGGGGGAGCAACATGTTTTTAAATTCTGAAATGCAATTAGCACACCTAGAGCAGGCATGTCAAACTCAAGTCCAAGAATGGGCCACCTTCGTGCATTGGCCACTCTGACAGATATAAATGGTAATTAGAAATATTTAATTGCAATCCCACCTGCCCAGAGGTTTTTTGAGGGGAGAACCCAGTACAACCTGCTCTGACTCTCCAACTGTGTCAAATATTCTGCACAAAAGCCAAGCAGCACCTTCCCAGCAGCCACCAAAGAAATGCTTTGTTCACTAAAGGTGTAGGCAGAAAGATCCTCAGCAAGCCAGGGGAAAGGTGTCACATGTCATGTGAAAGGTCACATGTTTGACACCTCTGACCTAGAGGAAACCACAAAAACACCGGAAAAACATAAAAGCTCCATACAGAACCTAGGCCATATTTACAATGGTGAGGTCATATAGTTTTGCAAAACCCCTTTAAGCATTAATATAAATTGTCATGGTAGATAAACTATGTCGTTTATGGAGTATATTATCTGGCCATTTAATTTTATTATAATATGCAGACATATGGTTGACTGTTATAGAGATGTGTCATAAAGACACCAAATACAAAACAGAATGATAAGAAAAACAACATCACCAGCTGTGAGACAATAAATAAATGGTGCTTTTTACAGCTGTTCATAAACTAGTTCCTAAAACAAACAGGTAGTAATCTGAAACTAGAGGAATGGAATTGTTGGGAACTTCCAGAGTTTTGTCATGCAGACATAAACTATTACAGGCAAAATTTATATTCTGGCACAGAGGTGCAACTGTAGTAGGCTGATGCAACATTTTAAAGGAAGCTGCGCTTACAACTTTTTCTTCTTGAAGTGATTCTAAAGGATAGTTTTTGTTTAAAATAAAAAAAGAAGTTATACCTACCTGCTCTGTGCAATGATATTGCTCAAAGTGATCTCATACCTCGTCTACTGGAGCCCCCTTCTGGTGCTCTGCCTTCCTTCTTCTTACAAATGACCCCTCAGCAAGCCAGCTGCTGAGGGGAAAGCTGTGTGGATGAGCTCCTGAGCCGGGGCTGTGCGCATCCATAGACATGAACAGAGTGGCTCGGTATATGCACTACATTGCCAAACGTATTGGGACACACCTCCAAAACTCTGAATTCAGGTGTTCCAATCACCTCCATGGCCACAGGTGTATAAGATCAAGCACCTAAGCATGCAAACTTCTTTTACAAATATTTGTGAAATAATGGATCTCTCTTAGGAGCTCAGTGAATTCAACCATGGTACTGTGACAGGCTGCCACTTGTGCAATAAATTTATCCATGAAATTTCCTTGCTACTAAATATTTCATGGTCAAGGTGGTATTATAACAGAGGAGGAGCAACAGGAAGCAACTGGGAACAACAGCAACTCAGCCACAAAGTGGTAGGCCACGTAAAATGACAGAGTGAGGTCAGCACATGCTGAAGCCCACAGTGCGAAGAAGTTGCCAACTGTCTGCAGAGTCAATAAAAGAACTCCAAATTTCATGTAGCCTTCAGATTAGCACAACAACAGTGCATAGAGAGCTTCGTGTAATAGGTTTCCATGGCTGAGCAGCTGCATCCAAGCCTTAAATTACCAAGTGTGATGCAAAATGTTGGATGCAGTGGTGTAAAGCTACTGGACTCTAGAGCAGTGGAGACGTGTTCTCTGGAGTGATGGTTCCCGCTTCTGTGTCTGGCTATTGATGGATGTGTGTGGGTTGCCAGGAGAACGGTACTTGCCTGACTGCATTGTGCCAAGTGTAAAGTTTGTTGGAGGGGGACTGTGGTATGGGGTTGTTTCTCAGGGGTTGGACTTGGCCCCTTAGTTCCAGTGAAGGGAACTCTTAAGGTGTCAGCATACCAAGACATTTTGGACAATTTCATGCTCCCAACCTTGTGGGAACAGTTTGGGGATGGCCCCTTCCTGTTCATGACCTCAACCCAATAGAACACCTTTGTAATTAATTAGAGCAGAGACTGCGAGCCAGGCCTTCTCGCCCGATATCAGTACCTGACCTCAGGGATCAGATAACCGGACCGGAGCAGTCTGAAAATAGGTAAGTATTTACACTTTTCTTACAAGTTATTTAGCATAGGTGTTAAGGCTAGTTAGATGTCCATAAGCTAGAATTCCACTTTAAAGCAGAGCTCCAGGCTCCCCCCATTTGGAAAAAAAATTAAAAGTCAGCAGCTACAAATACTATAGCTGCTGACTTTTAATATAAGGCCACCTACCTGTCCAGGGATCCAGTGATGTCCTCATTTTAAGTAAGGGAAACTGGCAGCCTTGCGGTTTCACAGCCGGTTTCCCACTGTGCATGTCCCAGGAGGCTGCAGGAGAAGGGGGGGGGGGGTGAACTTCTGGCTCAGATTGCTGCAGCACATTTGACAGGAAGTGAGAGCGAGTACCTGTCCAAACCCCCTCCCCCCAAAAAAAAGTGCCAAATGTGGCAGTGGAGGGGGAGGAAGCAGACAAGTGGCTGTTTTTCCCCTTTTGCAAGAAAGATATTGTCCATAATAACTAGATATAACTAGGAAAGGCTGGAAAGTGGCCATTTTTCCGATTGAGAAACTTTCCCTAATTATTAGCACTATAATAGACCTTGGAAATGTTGGAATAAAGGAATGTCTACAGAAAAAAAGTAAATTGGGTGACAAGTTTTGGGGGTGGATCAAACTGAAGAACAGCTGAAAAGGCCCTGATATGTTTTCTGTAAAATGTCTACAAAAGTAATTGTGAGTTTTTGGGTGTGGATAAAAAGAATACTACCGTTCAAAGTGACAATTTAAACAGAAAGTACCCCTTTACCACTCAGGTCTACCCATAAAATGCATGACAAACCCAAGGGGTAAATATGGCGGTCAGTATATATGCATATATTAATACATATTAACACCTCTACTGGTTCCAGAAGCAGGTGTGCATGCAAATGTTTATTGGCTTCCTGCATACCTTGTTTCATAAAGTGGCTATTTTCCTGAACTGAAGTGTAGCAAATCCAGATGCCTTCAGCTCCAGGCTATTCTTTATAGCAGTGTGACACACTGATACTCTTTGACATGGCAGAGTGCCTAATAAATGACAGAATTCCAGTGCTAGCCTAATATATAGCATGAATGAAGAGATGACTTACATTATGCATCAAAGTCTTTTAGTATCAAACTGCCCCATTACCTACACTGAACTGTTGTTTCTTGCTTTATTTTCTTCTCACATACCTCCATTATAGTCCATAACTATAGAAACAATACAAAACATTACATCCAGGACTCTGCATTCACTATATCTGGTCTCCTACCGTACACACAACATGGAAATGCAATTATTTTAGTAAATATAAACTGTTAAATACCTTTTCTTATCAGCAGTTAGAGCAGTCTTGTGACTTCAGCAAAGCACTGGTTACAGCTTGTAGGAGGAGTTTTCTTTCTTCTCTAGGAAAATGCAGAACCCCTGACCCCTGTCTGGACAGTGCTGATTGGCCCTGTGCTGATCACATGCACTCTCCCAAGAAAAAAAACCTCTCTAGCAATACACACTAAACTGAGCATGTGCATGTGGCTACTGGTTCAGTCTGTCTTATCAGGTGGACATTTGAACAAGAGGAGGGGCAGAAAAGACAGGATCAAACAGCCTTTTTATACAATGCAGAGGAATAACCCTTTAGGTTCCACATTGAGTATAACAAGCATGCTTTACTGCATACACAGGCTGATTTTACTGTTGTGGATTTAGTAACCCTTTAACATTCTTCTACACTTAGATTATTAGAGCACAAAGATCTACATTTTTAGTAGTAAAATAAAAGTGTTGTTTGTTTGCATATCATTTAAAACCAACCCGATTTATTATTCATAACATTTTTCCACAGGTGAACAAAAAATAAAAAAAGGTAAAAAGTTGATTAAAAAAGCCTGTCTTTCTACCAAAAAATGTCAACCATAAACCATTACATGTCTCTGTATTAGGGAGGTCTACAGCTTTTTACTATTAGAAAGCACATGAAAGATCTACAGTTTATCTTTCCTCCATCCATATCAAAATATTCCAACTCCATAGGAAGACATCCTGAACAGAGTTTAAAAATAAGGTCATGGAAGGAAGGAAAATATTTTGTTTCCTTTATAAATACTACTTGAAATAAAAGGTTTTATGTGAAATAAAAAATATGTGTAAAAACAGGTAACATAGTGTGAACAAATAAAAATGAATATTTTTAATAAAGTATATTTTACTGGATTAGGTTCGGGACATTTCTTCAAAAAATAAACTCCATCTGCTTTGCTTGATGTAAGTGCACATTAATTATACAGTGATGTTTATAAGCAATGATTTTGACTTTAACAGGTTCATTTGCAAATATATGCAGCAATGCCATCATTCCACGGAGGATTTCTAGCAGGAACTACACCCTTCATTTTATTGTTTTTTTTCCTCTGGCTGCTAAGACCTCAACCGGACTTAGAGAGCAAGCATTCTCCTTACTGACTTACTGTGGGATCCTTGCCAGCCATCTTGCACTCTTCAACTTTGTGTGGTGTAGCCGGCCAGAAAACCTAGTTGAAAAAGAAAAAAACGTAGTAGATATAAAATATTCAGCAGCAACATAGATTACTTCACTTTAGTATGACCAGTATCATATTTTTAGTACAGCAGGTAGGTTGAAAACGCTGAAAGTCCTCATCACAAGATTCTTTCTATTTTTATATTACTGTAGACACCTTGAGTTGTAAAATGTGATTGGAGTTTTAATATGCCCATCACCAGCTTAACCTTAGTGTTAAAAACAGCAATTAAATAAAAAAGAAATGGATGACAGATGTGCAAACAGCAAAGTAATCAAGAATCAACAAAACACAGGATGCAATACAAGCTTGTGCCATTGAACACAGATTCAATGCTGATTATAATCAGGTATGTTGTATACAAATAACATGCTAATAGCAGAGACAAATGAGCAGACAGCTGACCTCATATATCTACTTCTGCTCTTTCACTGTCCTGTCAGCAGGCTGGAGGTGAAATCAGAACATTAGAGTATTCTGTTTATAGTCTTTAACTCTTAACAGAAGTTTCATCCACCAGACTATGCTGTACGGCACAGCTTTCTAAATCTTACAACTGGACTTAGAGAACTACAAACAGGCTTACGGCTAGAATATCCATAGTCAGAGAGCCACGAGGGTCCACTCATCCATAAGCTTCTGTTTTGAGAAAAGGATCTATTTTCTGGACCCCTCTCTTGAGGTACCCAACCATTAACAAAAGCCATATGGGTTGATCTGGGCAGGTTGGGGAGTTCCTCATGGTTGCAGGCCCTCTAACCATGAGAAGACAAATCCACATTTGTATGCACACTGAGGTGGTATCATTATTCCAATCTGAATCAAATCTCAAACTTGATATTTCAGTTTTAAGTCTAAAACAGAATGATACATAAATTGTTGTGTAATATATTGCATAAATCTCTGTGATAAAGAGAACTTTCATTACACTGAAGTATTTGTTAAGTCTTTCTAAATCATGACTTGTTTTTATATGGTGGACATATGGAAGTGCTTCTTGAAAATAAAAGGCTACAAAACATAAAGTGTGATATTATTATATCTGCATAACACACCTACTTTTTAAATAAGGCGCTATCTGCATAACACACCTACTGTGTAAATATTGCCAATGTCAAACAAAGAGAACTTATATTTTTAATCTTAGTTTAATAAGTGTAATACAGTACCCAAGTGTATTTATACAAATCCCTAACCTTGACAGTAGATGACTCTACTCTCTTTTTTACTGGATTTACTGTGCCACACTGCAATGTTTAAAACTTAAGTACTTCTTCCTGGCAGGACTGTGTTTATTATCATAAATTTATTCTACTTTATATCCTTTGATATCGGCAGTGATATCAAGCTATTGACCCAGTAAACCAAAGTCATCTGAGGACAACGCTGAGGCCAGTTAGTCATCAGAATCAGTAGGAAGTTTACAGTTTATTTTAAATGATTTAAGCAATTCCAGAGGATGATCACAGAGGATCCATATTACCTTACATGTGTGGTTACGGTGCAATCAGAAGTAAATGAAACCATACATTCTGTTAGGAACAGTTAGACTATTTTTTTCCTTTTACACTACATGCTCATCTACTGTACTATTCCCCACACAGCACCAGCTTATGTACTTTAATCAGCAGAGGTAAAAACAAATTTGCTAAAATTTTTGAACTCATCCAGTCAACACTTTAGTTGATGCTTATGTAGTTTATTTTTTTCAATACCATGTACTAGTATATAGCTGTGCAATTGTGTCGGCACCATTACATTTTTTGAAAGTTTTACTCTTCTTCCACGTGCTCAACAAAATAAGGCATATTTAAGTAGAATTGTAGTAAAAACTTTTTTTTTTTTTTTCATTTTGGATAGAATAAGGGAAGGTTATAACCCCATGTCACCTTTTTTGCCATCTGAGCCTAATGCGAAGATTTAAAGGAGTGGTGTTTTTTTCCATATTGCCCTTGAAGCTGCATTAAAAAGACCCTCTCCCCACTCCGTAGTACAGTATTTGAAAAAAATCAACAAATGTTTGCATTGATGCATATCCCCTATGGCAGTGCCCAGCTGTCTATGGCCAGAATTGACTAACAATATTTGCACCCGTCCCCCTCCATCCCATAGATTTAATACAATTTGCGGCCAATGATCCACCGATCTGTGTGTGGGAATACTGTACCTCTGTTTCATTATTGAAATCAAAAGGCGTTCTCAGAGACCAGGCTGGTGACAAAAAGATAGTATGGCATTGTGTAAATAAGTTATAGCCTATACAGTATGTGTTTTTTTTGCTGTTAACAGCATATGGACATTCAAATATTTTCAAATCCTTACCAAGCTATAAATGAGCTTTTAAACAAGCCCTCTCTGAGTTCTGCACATGGCACTGTGGAGGTATTCATTGTCAAAGTTCATGACAGAAGTACCAAAGTCCTTTACCAGTTTATCTACCTCTCTTCCCCCGTCCCAGCAGTTAAAAGAGAAGCACAGCCAAAGCAGAACTAACTGTATTCTTGTGACCCATTTTCAACCAACAGTGAATGCTGATGTCACAGAGCCAGTCCAGGCTCTGAAAAGATCCCAACCATATGGTCAGTTTCCACCCAAATGCCTGGACTGGCAGCTGGCTCAGCCTCTCAGCAAGCCACTGAGAGCCTGAGCCAGCCTCTCCCGACCCTCCACAGTCCAGTGGGTGCTCGAGGGGCAGGGCAGAGAGCTAGTGACTGAAGACCAAGAACTGATCACGCGGTCCTAGAGCTGGTGGGGGGCATCTGCAATATCGGATCGATACTACAGCCACATAGATGATTATACTGTATATGTATGTATATTCTTTTTTTTTTTTTCTTAAACCGATACATCTCTTTTAAAAGCTTTCTCGTTTCCTTATCTTTAAAGTAAACACAGAGAAGGGGTTCCGGCAAAGGGAGCAGCATGAACTGAACTGATGAGAGAGACAACTTGAATGACTTCCGTGATTTTGCTGTGAACGTTTGAAGAAAATGTCTACAGCTACAGAGGTAATTGATGATTTACTTTAAAGCTCATTTACTGCTTGGTAAAGTGGAACTATACTCTGCTATTTTTTTTACATACATGGGCCCTCAGGAGGATTATGCCATAATGTGCTAGTATGCACTACATATTAGCACATTATGGCAGAATTACCTGTCAAATAATGCTATCCAGTGATGTGATGTCAGTGATCCTGCTGGTCACGGACACTTCCCTTATTTCCCCGGTCTTCCTTCTGGGTTCACTCTGTTCAGCCGCTTGAATGGCTAGGCTGCAATGATGTCAATCCCATGCATGCACACAGAGACGCATCAATATGGCACAGAGCGATGTCATAAATGTATTCTGAGTTGTGATTGCACAGCTTAGTGTCCATTACCACTGCCAGGCAGGGAGAAGGAATTATGAAGGAAGGGAACAGTAGGTGTCTTCTGTTATAAAAACCCTGTCAGAGGTTTTTACATTATTTTAATTCCGCTTCTGGTCACAGGTTCACTTAAGCCCAGGTTCACATATATGCGGTTCAGTACATCGCATGTGATTCACACAGGAACCGCACCACATTCCTGTGCAAATCACATGCGAATTGTGTGCAGTGCAATATGAGCCATACATTATGTATGGCTCAAATTACACCGCATCCCACACCAAAAAGGTGCAGGACCCTTTTTCGGTCTGCAATAGAATTGGATTGCATGGATATTCACACCTATGTGATCCGATTCTGCACATCGCACTGCATTTTGCAGACCGATTTCAGGGTGTTGTTAACTTAACATACACACCCGCAGCGGTTCGCATGAAAGGGGTGTGATTCTGATGTGGTGCGGAATTCACACAGAAAACACTGAGAATTCTGCACTGCATCAGTGTGAACCAGGGCTTAAGCTTTTATTTTATTTGCAGTGTACTTTTAACACATTGGGGGTGGACAGTGGAAAACCGGGTGCAACTTTGAATATAAACCAATCAGCTTCCAGGTTTTATTGCCACAGCTTAATTGAACAAACTGAAGTTATAAGGTAACTAGCTACCATGCATAGCTGCACTAGATTCTGCGTGCACCAGTTTTAGTAAATCTCCCCCAATGTGTACAAAGTATCTGATGAAATAATTAATTCTTCTATAAATTAGGGATGCCCCGATATCTAATTTTTTACCAGCCATTACTAGTACTGAAACTTGTACTCAAGCACTCATCAATACCAATTACCTCTACCTTTGCGGTACGATTTGAGCGCATGCAAAATGTATGGGCTCGAAATGCACTGCAAAGAATAGCATGCATTTTGAACAATAATGTGGTGTGTTTCCTGTCCAAATCGCATGCGGTTTCCCTCACCACTCCTGTGTGAACCCAGACTGAAGCCACTATGACAAGCCTGGGTTCACACAGTAGCACCCAGCACTTTGGAGACTTTCTTCCTGAATCTGGCTCCTGTTCCTTTAAGTAAGGTGTACAGTCACTAGCAGAAGGCTAATCTGGTTTCCCACCAGAGTGCTCCTTCTTCTATCCACCCAGGGGGTGCAGGTGTACTCACTCAGATCTTCTCCTGTACTGCGTGTGGAATGGCTGCTGCTACCAGGCCTATCAGCTGTGTTGCTCCTTCCCGCCATACAGATGGTCCTCTCTCAGGGGGGCAGTGAGTCCTGAGTTTTCCCTCCTTTCCAGCTCCAGGCTTGCAGGCAGGCTCCATCCCACTAGGCCTCCTGGCAGCCTTCCACCTCAAACTCACATCTTCCTCTCTCCTTCTTCCACCCGACTCTCCTGCTACTGAGCAGGCTCTTTTTTTAAGGGAGTCCAGCCCCTTGCCAAGCCTTCTGTTGGAGATTGGCTGAGGTCCCTCATAAGCGCAGTCAACCACTGCTCAGGTCCACTTACTGTCTCCAAGGCCTTCCTCTGAAATTCTCAGAGTACAGGGAAATTGCAGAGGGGCTGGCCTGCAGAGTCTCTCAGTCCGGACCAGAATGTAACCTATCTGGCTATCTCACCTAAGGTGCTTAGCAGCTCCTTGCTAACCAGTAGGGTCTAGCTCCCCCTAGCTATACTAAGAGGGTGCTACATGCATTTCCACATATCATGCTTTACAATACACAGAGGTGAACGGGCCATTTAAATACATATTAGGCACAACAGCCTCTGTAAGTGTACTAACATCTGAGGGATATCATATATGGAGAGAAATGTATATTTTCCTTCAGGCCCTACATACAATCACTGGCTAAAACCTGCCGCCTCAACCTCAGCAACATTTGTAGAATTTGCCCCTTCCTGATTACACTACAAAACAACTTATCCACGCCTTGGTTATATCCCACATTGATTACTGCCACTCCCTCCTTACTGGTCTACGTTTACACAGGCAATCTCCCCTTCAGTCTATTATGAATGCTACTGCTAGACTAATACACCTTACCAACCGATCAGCGACTGCTGCCCCTCTCTGCCAATCCCTTCACTGGCTTCCACTAGCCCAACATATAAAATTCAAAATACTAACCACAACATACAAAGCTATCCACAACACTTACCCTAGCTACAGCACCAACCTCATCCTTAAATATCATCCAAATCATCTGCTCTGCTCATCCCAAGGCATCTTGCTCTCTAGCTCCCTTGTCACCTCCTCCCATGCTCGCCTCTAGGACCTCTCCAGAACCTCTCCCATCCTCTGGAACTCCCTGCTCCAGTATGTTCAATCAGACCCCACCCTGTCCGCCTTTAGGCGATCTTTGAAAGCTCACTGATTCGGAGAAGCCTTCCCCACCTCCACCTAAGAACTGTACTTGAATCACCTCCACCAGATCATCCCCCGCACCTTTTGTATCATCTCCCCTTCCTTTAGATTGTAAGCTACATGAGCAGGGCTATTCCTTCTGTATTGAACTGTATTGTAGTTGTACTTTCCTCCTTTATATTGTAAAGCGTTGTGCAAACTGTTGGTGCTATATAAATCTTGTATAATAATAATAATACTATTAAATGACAAGCTACTTTGCACTTAAAAAGTAAGCCTATACAGTAAATTACTTAAAGTGTTACTAAAACCCAGGACTCTGCATTCACTACATCTGGTCTCCCACAGTACACAGAACATGGAAATGCAATGATTTTAGTAAATATAAACTGCTAAATACCTTTCTCATCAGCAGTTAGAGAAGTCTTGTGACTTCAGCAGAGCACTGGTTAAAGCTTGTGAGAGGAGTTTTCTTTCTGCTCTAGGAGGAAGTGAAACCTCTGGCCCTGGGCTGATCACATGCACCCTCCCAAGAAAAAAAAAAAAACCTCTAGCAATACACACCAAACTGAGCATGTGCAGGTGACCATGGGTTCAGTCTGTATCTGGTGGTCATTTAAACAAAAGAAAGGGCAGAGCAGTCAGGATCACACAGCCTTTATACACAATGCAGAGGATTAGCCCCTTAGGTTCCACAGTGAGTATAACAAGCATGCTTTACTGCATATACAGACTGATTTTACTGTTGTGAGCTTAGTAACACTTTAGGTTAAGCAATGTAAAAGTCAAACTGAACTATTTACATGTGACTGTTTTTTTTTTTTTTTTTACTGTAAAGTTCCCACATTCGCAGTGCAAATGGAACCTGTAATCATTAGTAATAATTTCAAAACCAGCAACTACTAGAGCAGTACCTGGTGGATACTTATCCCTCTTCCATCCAACAAATCTTATTTCAAAACTGGCCACATCTCCCTGTACTGACTTCCTTCTTGGCTTTGATTAGGAGCTGAAGATGGCCGTGCATATGAGAGTAAGGATGGCCATACATGGATCAAAATTCAGCAGGTTCTGTAGGGACTTTCAATCCAGGTATGGGCAGACTGGTTGTATTGAAGTTGATCTAATGATTGACTTCTGTACAATCAGTCAGGTTTTTCCAGATTGATCAGTTCCACTGGAAATAGCAATGCAACACTGATCAGTTTTCTGATGACGGGGGAGTCTCCCTGCCATCAGAACACAATAATACAGCAAGAGGATTCCCCCCATTCATACCAAGTGTGTGGATGGGGGAATTGGGTAATTTTTTGGTTCAACCTGCTGTAGTGTAATATTTCCTTACTGAACAGGTTTTCCCAGTGCTTCCCTACTTACTATACTTACCCAGGGGCGGACTGAAAAACTCATGGGGCCCCCGGACAATAGGGGATCATGGGGCCCCTGTGTCCTTGCCCAAACTCAAAAAAGCCTATGAAAAAGGTACCAGGGGCATCTCATGGGGCCCCCTACTGACCCCAGGCCCTCGGGCAGTGCCCGAGTTTCCAAATGGTCAGTCCATCCCTGTACTTACCTATGTACAATTAAAGCTTAGCTCCAGTTTGCACAACTGAACTACATAGAAGGGTTCTGTAACCTGCCAAAAGATTCACATTTCTATCCATCCAGTTCTGAGATTTACATAGTCCTTTCACACAGCACAGCTTTGACTGGTAGGGCAGGAGTTCTGCTTTTTCTAAGCAACACTTACAGGACCTATTCCTCCCCTTACTTGTGACTGTCAGTAAAAAGAAAAATAAAATAAAATAATCCAATAAGCAAAAATAAGTGACTACCCAAACATATTATAACCTATGTAAAAAATATCAAATATAATATAAATAAAGTCCCATACACCTAAAGTCCAAAAAAAGTCCAAAATCTTTAAAAAGTGATCTCTTAATTTATCTTTATCCCCGGATTGGATTGGTGACAGTTCCAAATAATCTTCCGGTACCTCAAAAAAACAAAAAACTCAACATAGTGTGTTACCCTAAACAAAATATGTATATTATGTGCCACACGTGTAACATGCAAAAAGAACACTAAAAGTGTCACAGCAATCGTGAAATCCTCAGGGTATGATTAAAGTAAACCACTTCACTGCACACAATAGATGGAGTGCATAATTACCCCTTTCAAGATAAAGTCAGCTTAGAGTCCATATTTAAAGATGAAACTGTCTCCACACATGGATCAGATAACGTCTCCTGCCTTTTCCACAGACCTCATAAAATAGACCAGGGATCAGCGTATATATAAAAATATAACAAATTTTATTGTAGCAACTTACACTTTAGGTTAGACGAGTACAGCTTAAACTAGGAACGTCCCATATGTAGACTTCGTGGTGGCTGTTAACAGCCTCTTAGTCTTACTGCCGAGAGAGCCAGGTAACCATGGGAGTCTTAGGGGTAGGAACTACCCCCGCGTGTTCCCGAATCCAAGATGGCCGTCCCCGCACTTCCGGAAAGCGTCAATGCGTCACAACGTCACGTGCCCCGGACGCGTTTCGTCAAATCCGGACTTTTTCAACAGGGATACGGACGTGTGCCTCACTTGCCTTAAATATCTGCTAACTGGCAAGTAATAACTCCAGACGCGGCCATCTTACTTTCTGGAAAATACAGCACATATCTCCATGCTTCCCGGCATAACTTAACAGAAAGGGCACAGACAATTAGCCCCCCCCCATATTTGCCTTGGTCCAGCAGGAGCATAAACTGTATGACCATCATAAGGTGGACAGCAAGTCACAAACGGCCATATACCCCAATAATACCAAATACAAACTAAAAACGGACAATTTAAAACCGATACATTAAAGTTATGGAATTATATTCTGACTATTCCTCACCTTATCTTCAAACTTTAGCTTTTATTAATCACTATATAGATATAGGAACCAGTACAATAAAATTAAAATTAAAATTAAACCATAATTAAAATAAGAATAAATATACAAAATGAAATTAAAAATAAAATTAAAAATAAAAAATAAAAAAAAATAAAATAAAATAAAAATAAAAAAAAAAAATAAATAAAAATAAAAATAAATATAAAAATGAAAATAAAAATAAAATAAAATAAGAATAAAATTAAAAATAAAGCAATTAATACAGATCTTAGAATCATATAATCCCATATATCTTCCCATTCCCTCATAGTGAGAAACCATAGATCCACCCTTTTTATTAACTCATCTTTCCCTAATTTTTCCCCACTTAATGATCAGAGATGTAAAACAGTTCAAGTCTAGCTCGACATTGACTGGTCTCAAGGTATGCTTCCATAAATCCAGAAGGTTCATTCCGAGAAATTCTTGCATTTGTTGCACCCCCTCCAATGGGTATCCAGGATATCAGAAATTTATAATTTGGATCAGAGTTGTGAAAATCCCGAAAATGTTTGGATACATTATGTTCTTTTTCTTCCCTTTGTTATATTACCTAGCATGTTTCTTGTCAATCTGACTTTGAGCTCCCTTTTTGTTCTGCCCAACATATTGAATTTTTACAGGGCATTTCAAGTAGATAGGTTAACATATTTCATATTACAAAGTAAGACATGAAAATCTCTTGATAACAAATGTCTCCCCCGTGACTGAGGATGTGAAGGTAGTAATTTTTTCTCTTTCATGCCTGTAATTTTACATATCCTACATTTTTTGCACGGAAAAAAACCTTGGCGTCCAAACATAGTTTCCTCGGAGGAGAGATCACTTACCCCCCTTCACCAAACAAGTTCCTCAGATTGTCACTTTTTTTCTATATATAAAAAAAAGTCAGATTGAAAGAACATGTAGGTAATATAAATAAAAAGGGAAGAAAGAACATAATGTATGAACATTTTCGGGATTTTCACAACTCTGATCCCAAATCTGTTGGATACCCATTGGAGGGGGTCAACCTCGGAATGAACCTTCTGGATTTATAAGTTAAATTTGAGACCCAGAGGCTCAATGTCGAGCTAGGACTTGAACTGTTAATCTTGATCATTAAGTGGGGAATTAGGGAAAGATAGTTATGGATCTATGGCTCCACTAATGATGGGAAGATTTGGGATTTTGATTCTAAGATCTGTATTAATTGCTTTATTTTAATTTTATTCTTATTTTATTTTATTTAAAGATTTATTTTTTAAAAATATTATTTTTATTGGCTTTTTTATTTTTTTTTTATTTTTATTTTTTATTTTATTTTTATTTTTATTTTTATTTTCATTTTTTATTTATTCTTATTTTATTTATTTTTAGGTTTAATTTTAATTTTAATTTTATTTTACTGGCCCTATACAAAGCTCAAGTTTGAAGGATATGAGGAATAGCGTCATTCCATAACTTTACTGTATCGGTTTTTTAAATGTCCGTTTTTAGTTTGTATTTTGGTATTATTGGTGTAATAAATACACTTGCTGTCCACCTTATGATGGTCATACAGTATATGCTCCTGCTGGACCAAGGCATATGGGGGGGCTAATTGTCTGTGCCCTTTCTGTGTCAAGTAGTATATGCCGGGGAAGCTTGGAGATATGTGCTGTATTTTCCAGAAAGTAAGATGGCCGATCGGGAGTTTACCCGTCTGGAGCAGATATTTGCAAGTGAGGGCACACGTCCGTATCCTGTTGAAAAAGTCCGGATGTGACGAAACGCGTCCGGGCACGTGACGTAGTGTGTGACGCCATTGACGCTTTCCGGAAGTGCGGGACGGGGATCTTGGATTGCCGGGAACACGGCGGTAGTTCCTACCCCTAAGACTCCCATGGTTACCTGGCTTCTCTCGGCAGTAAGACTAAGAGGCTTTAACAGCCACCACGAAGGAGTGGGGTTAGAAGTAGGTTAAGAATTAATGATTAGATTGAATTTTTGAATCTCTTGCCCATATGGGCTCAAAAAAGCCGTATGAATTAAAAAGTGTACTCGTCTAACCTAAAGTGTAAAGTTGCTACAATAAAATTTGTTTATTTTTGATATATACGCTGATCCCTGGTCTATTTTATGAGACGGTTATCTGATCCTGTGTGGAGACAGTTTTTTTCAATCTTTAAATATGGACTCTAGACTATTATCTTGAAAGGGGGTAATTATGCACTCATCTTCTGAAGTGTTTACTTTAATCATACCCTGAGTTTCACCTGTGACACTTTTTAGTGTTCTTTTTGCAATGTTACACGTGTCGGCACATAATATACATATTTTTTGTTTAGGGTAACACACTATGTTGAGTTTTTTTGTTTTTTTGAGGTACCGGAAGATTATTTGGAACGTGTCACCAATCCAATCCGGGGGATAAAGATAAAATTAAAGATCACTTTTGTCTTTGGACCTTTTTTTTGGACTTTAGGTGTATGGGACTTTATTTATATTATATTTTGATATTTTTTACATAGGTTATAATATGTTTGGGTAGTCACTTATTTTTGCTTATTGGATTATATTTGTTTGTACTTCAGGGGAAGGACTGTTAAGCAGTGCTATTTTGCGACTGTCAGTGAAGCAAAAATTGACAAACTCACCTCCAAATCACTCTGCTACTCTTATCAGAATGCCCTTTGTTAGCAATGACGCACTGTAGCACAACTGACTAACTCCATGTACTAATTTTCCCTCTTGCAGTTTGAGCTATGCCTTACAGAACTGAAGAGGCTGATACCAGATAAAAAATCAGGAACCTATGCTGCTTACATAAAAAGATACAGTTAAAGCAGTGGTAAAACTACAACAACACCATTTTTTTAATGGGACCCTACAGGTTAAACTCATAATGCACTATCATTCTGGTGCATACTAGTAGATTATGATAAAGTGACCTTTTAACGAGTGCTGATTTGTCCCACTCCCAGCTCTTGTATGTTCATCAGGTTCTTGCTCTCAATTGAATGGCCAGGCCACAATGATGACAATCTTTGCACATGCACATAGCATCACTATTGTGGTACGGTGTCCTGCATCTATGGCACACTCAGTGCACTCTAAATGCAGAGGGCATGCATGAGCAGTGATGTGGCTGGAGCTTTTAAATTATAGTGAAGTTTTAAATTAGAGTTTACTACCACTTTAATTACTTAATGGAATACATAGCTGAAAATTAATTTATGTCAAATGAATTCATGCAGTAGAAGACAACCCCTGCTATTTAGATATTCATGTAAACTAGTGGTAGATTGCCTTGCTCTGTTTGACTGCTTTTGTGGTTGCTCATCAAACATTGTAAATGTTTAGAAAGCTGCTTTGCATATTGTTAACATTCCGCTTTTATCTGGCCGTAGACAATAGATAACAGTTTAGATGCATGAGACTGCTGAAAAAAAATACACCAACAATACATTGTAGCAGGGGAGGACTGACAACTCATGGGGCCCCCGGGCAATAGGGGATATGGGGCCCCTGTGTCCTTGCCCAAACTCAAAAAAAGCCGATGAAAAAAAAGGTACCAGGGGCATCTTATGGGGCCCCCTACTGACCCTGGGCCCTCGGGCAGTGCCTGAGTTTCTAAATGGTCAGTCCACCCCTGCATTGTATTACTTGTGCTCTGTGTTTTATATAATATCCTGGAACATGAAATCACATCCTGCAGTGTGTTGAGGAAGTAAAAAACCTAAATACAAAACCAATCTTATCTTATTGACTTACGCCTGAGAGGATCATGACTAATGTTGTTAATGTTCAATGACAGAGATATGATCCTTGCTGCCCACACATAGAATCCTGGTCTACATATTAAACAAAATCTGTAGTCCAGCGGGCTCTGTGATACTTGTGTAGTACTCAGATGACTTTGTGTCCTTAAGTTCTGAAACAAAGGAAAAGAAAAAGATTCCTCTGTAAACATCCAATGTATATAATTATAATAGTAGTTTCACAAAAAAGTAAGCAGCTTGAAAAAAGTTTCTGTACATTAACGTTTTAGAGAAGGTTAAAAAATCAGTAATAGGGATGACATTACATAACTATATAAAGAAGAACTCCAAGACAGGCAAACAAATCACCCATTAGTACACCCCCTACACAAAACACTAAACCGTTAATAACATTTTTAAAATCCTTACCAATTAGGAGAAAAGGCTAATTGAATTTTCATGACCTCATCTCTATAATTTGAAAGATAACAGCATTTGCTCTACCAAGGAGGATGTGTAACAGCAGGGATTACATCATATCCTCTCCTTTCTCTCTGCAGTAAAAGGAAACTACAGTTCCCATCAACCACAGGGAATGTGGATGGGTACACTGATCCTGTACATGTTGTATTTGCCTGAGAGTTTCGGTCCACCAACCACTGCAAGTGGGGCTGTATTACACCACTGCTTCCTGGAGAAAGAACTACAGAAGAGATGTGCCAAGACTGGTGTCTGGGGGAATAGGAGGCATAGCAGTCACTGATCTTACAAACAGAAAACCTAAGAGAATTAATGGTTTGATATGAAAATGGAAAATTAATAAGCTATTTCAGAGCAACTACTGAGTGAACCAGAAGATGGATGACATATTGAGTGAAGGTAAGAAATCAGCAACAGGGAGGAATTTAACAAAATATTAAAAGAATATCTAAACCCAAAACAAAAAAGTAATACTGTATATTGCAGCTCACCAGTCCTTGGTGTGGTGACTGCATTTGTTTTCTTATGTCAGGATCCTTTTGCTTTATCCTCTTGTTCAATATTTTTAGTGACAAAAGAAGTAAAAAAACAGTACAAGACCATGATAGGTCAAAAATACAAATAGGAATGGATAATTCATACATTTCCAATGGATTAAGTATAAAGTTATACCGTGAGCCATATGAATATAAAACATAAAAAACAATCCTACTATTATTTCAGAGGTGAACAAAAGCAGCAATAAGCCCCCAAAACATTTGTAAAATATGCTATTATTTAATCAGTGAAGGATGTGGTGAAGAAATATTTTGTGTACCATAAACTCAAGTTGCAAGCCATTAAGGTTGTAGCAAGATGAGGGAAAAAGGCGAGAGTAAATAAAAGGGAGGAAAAGAAGGGAGAACGAGATTGGGCTTTTGCTTTATTTTCACCCAATAAATCTGCAGATAACACACTTCTACTCTGGGTGGCTATGTCACTCCTCCACTATCTATGGAGGGAGTCATGGTCATCACCTAGGCTGCTCTCCTGATATGGACTTCAAATGTGTTCATATCTATTGATCTCCATAATATTGGGGGCAGGGCAATTTATAATTTATAAAAGGTTATAAAATATGAGTGGCATATATACCAGTGCTGCTAATTAGCCATAGTATACACAGTATAGTAAATAACATTTACTATAAGGAATGTGTTCTTATACCTGAGTGTCCTTCAGTCATCACAACTGCAATGCACTGCCATGCAGAACAAAGAACATGCTGGCCACTCCTGTCACTGTGTGTGAATATATTACTAGCAGATCATAAATCATTGTATTGAGCAGACTGTCTGTGGGCATAACAAAGATCCTTTAAAGTTCTTTTCTATATTAGGCTATGGACCTACGTGTAAAGATGCATTCTCTTCCCTGACTTGCTGCTGAGTGTTGCTGAGATCCTGTTTGCTTCAGTTTGTAGTTAAAACTCAACTCCAGAAAATAAAATTGGACAAAGTAGGGAACTGTTATAACCTTTGTCATGTTTACTGATGTCTCTGTGTCACCAGGAAAGCACCCGATTCAAAATGTTGACAGAGATATGAATGCATAAAATAAATGTTATAAGAGAAGAAGGATTAAAACCTTCGTCAGGTTTGGATTGCTGTCTGTCTGAAAATGATGGCAAATCTTCCCAATGAGGTCACAGACAGAATTAAATATCATGTGACAAAAGGAGTCCTAAAACTTCTTCCCTCTGTTTCCTTGATCTAAAGGAGAGGGCTCCAAACTTTGTAAACAAAGAGCCGGTTTACTTTAGAGGGGCTGGACTGTGGTCTGTGAGAGTAGAAAAAGCCCCAGTATCGGTGGGAGTAAACAGTGCCCCAAGTTTGGTGGTCAGTGGGAGTAAAAAAATTACACAGCGCCTGCGGTCAGTAAAAGGAGAAATAATATCCCGCTGTTGGTGTGAGTGGAAGCAATAGAACCCATGATTCCCCAAGTGTTGGTGTCATTGGGAAAAATAGTGTCAATCTTTGGTGTCAATGAGAGGAATATTATCCCATTGCTGGTGTCAGTGGGAGAAATAGTGACCCATCATTGGTGTCAGTGGGAGGAATAATGTTCCATTACTGGTGTCAAAGGGAGGAAATAGTTTTCCATGGTTTATATCAGTGAGAGGAATTACGCCCCATTGTTGATGTCAGTAGAAGGAATAGTGCCTCTTATCAGTGGGAGGAGTATTGACCCATTGTTGCTGTTAGTAAAAGAATAGTGACCCATTGTTTGTGTTAATGGGAGGAATAATTTCCCATCATGGGTATCAATGGGAGGAATAATGGCCCATTGTTGCTGTTAGTAACAGAATAGTGACCCATCCTTTGTGTCAGTGGGAGGAACAGTTAACTATCATTGGTGGCAGAGGAAGGAATAGTGTTCCATTGTTTATATCAGAGAGAGGAACTATGCCCCCATGATGATATCAGTAGAAGGAATAGTGCCTCATATCAGTGGGAGGAATAGTGTCTCAAGGGCCAGATAAAGGCAAGCGGAGGGCCACATCCAGCCTGCAGGCCCCAGTTTGGAGAACACTGATCTAAACCTATGAACCCATGAATGTTTAAGCTTCAAGCCAAATTGAACTTTCAGATTAAAGTAGCTAAATACATTCTAAGTGTATCAAACCAAAAGGTGTGCAAAGTCTTACAGTTCGTTTTCTGTAAAACTGTCCACCGTCAGCCCCTGAAGAGTGCAACCCCTGTTCTCTATGAAGAAGCATGAACTTTGTTAATTGCAGACCTTTAGATCAGACTTAGGTCTCATTCACACAGGGGCTGAGGCCCACACACCGTGAATTGGCCATTTGTTTATGCAGCTAGTGCCTTCGGGTGCTGCATGCAGGCTGCCCTTGTAAGTCATTAGTAGCACAGTGGCTGCATGGATATAGCTCCTGTCTAATTTGACAGGCGTGTGGGTGAGTGTCCTCCAAGGGCATGCCTTCTGCGATTGGGGCTACTCATCTGCGTGCTTGTCAGATTTTGACATAGGACTGTGCCCATACAGCCGCTTCCAGAGGACGCATGCATACACCATTTATGAAAACATGCAAACAAATGCCTCATGCATGCAGTATGGGTGTCAGCGCTTGTCTTAATGAGGCCTAAAGCAGACCTCGCACTAAGTGTAATAACGGTACTAATTGTACACCCCCTGCCCCATTCCAAATACCACACTATTGCTGCAAAAACACCTGTGAAGAAAAGACAATGACATCACGATCTTTGTCAGGAGATACTGAGAATGATGAGGATCCCAAACCTCACGAGCAGATGCTGCAGTACAGTGTCCTTCTGGTTTCTTCTAAGATTATGAATTCTCAGCATTCCTAAGATCTCCTTGGAAGTATTGTGATGCTATCCTCTCCAGTGCAAACACCTTGTAGAAGGTAAGCAAGTTTTCTAGCTTTTACTCTTTTTCTTTTAAAGCATTAATGTGGTCTTGTGGAATGGGAGTTGGCATGCCTGAAGCAGGCCTTCCATATAATTGAAGAGCATCCATATAGTGACCGCTCGCCCACAGTGTACATCGGATGGGCGGCCATTGAAGTCAAAGCAAAGTTCCCATACAGCTCTGCCTACTTCCAGGTTTCGGGCGCATGTATGTGCGCCCCCTGGCTGGCACCCGCAATGACTGTACAAGGTAGGAGCCTGTCAGCAAGTCCCAGCCAATGATTCACAGCCAGGACCTGCTGATCGTCTGTTTACAATCACAGCCCAGAGCTCTGTGTTGACAATCAACACAGAGCTCTGTACAGAGGGAACGATCTCTCTGTTTCTCATCCCTGAAAAGCAGGGATGAGAAACTAAGAGATCATTATTAAAAAGCAGCACACTACACATATTACACATAGTTAGCTCCACATTTAACCCCTTGATCGTCCTAGATGTTAACCCTTTCCCAGCCAGTGTCATTAGTACAATGACAGTGTATAGTATTATCACTGATCACTGTATTAATCTCACTGGTGATGTCAGTGGCAGTTAGTCAGGTTCCTCCTGTGTCAGTTAGTGCCAGATTGCCCGCCACACTATTGCAGTCCCATTATAAGTCACTAATTACCACCATTAGTAGTAAAAAAAAAAATTCCAGTATATATACACCATGTTTGTAGGCACTATAATGTTAAACGCAAACTAATCAATATGCACTTATTGCATTTTTCTTTATCAAAGACATGTAGCAGAGTACATTTTGGCCAAAATTTATGAAGAAATTTTATTTTAAATTTTTTTTTATTGGATATGTTTTATAGTAGAAAGTAAAAAAAAAAGTTTTTTTTTTATTGTTTTGGTTTTTTTTTTTACATTTTCTGTACTTTTTCATTTATATTGCAAAAAATAACAAACCCAGTGGTGATAAAATACCACCAAAAGAAAGCTCTATTTGCGTGAAAAAAATTATATAAATTTCGTTTGGATACAGCGTTGCATGACCGTGCAATTATCAGTTAAAGTAGCAAAAAATGACTGTCATGAAGGAGGTAAAATCTTCTGGTGCGCATGTGGGTATTTTTAAATACTTATTGCAAGCCTCTAAGAATTGTAGCCTGTTCATTATACATATTCACAAATTCAACAGAAAATGAGTCACTTCAAAGTTGAACAATGCTTCAGAAAGGACAGGAATATTTATTTACGTTGAGCTTCCTAAGGTTAGATTTTCCTCTA